CGAGCCAGGCCCGCGGGCAGCAGCGGTGGTGGCGGAGCGGGGCAGGTGGATGCGGCTGGAGGATGACGCTCCCGGGCCGGGCAGCGTCAGGCGGCCGTGCGGGCGGGCGCTGCACTGGATCCGCGTGGTGCTCATCAGCCTCCGGCTGGGCTGGTCCTACGACGCCTACGCCATCCAGCTGTGCACAGCACCCACGGGCAATATTGTAGAACAGGTTGTTTGCCTGATGGCTTATCATCTGCTTTTCGCAACGTTTGCGTGGTCGTATTGGAAAACTATCTTTACGTTACCAATGAATCCTTCAAAACAATCTATACAGAGAAAGAATCGCTGGAGAGAGAGGCAAGAGGAGAAGCGCATCAGGAAGTTCTTAGCTGAGCAACCAAAGATCTTCCCATCTACACCGGGACCATGTCTGGAGCAATGCGCTCCTACGACACATGCCAAATTATCAAACCAGACCGCTGCCATCACTGTTCCGTCTGCGATAAATGTATTTTGAAGATGGGTCATCATTGCCCGTGGGGCATTTAGAAGTCCAGTATTTCAGCACGAACTAAATGGCGTGCTGTATGGAAACTGAGTTTAAGATAATCTTAAGTGGTGTGTTTGTTGATGCCAAAATGTTTGGCTTCAGTAAATATACTAACAAGCTCTTGGGCCTTGTATGCACTATTGAAAAAAAAGTTTTATTTTATTCTTTTTTTTTTTTCAATGGTATTAGTTTTGGGGGGAAGAAAAGATGAGCAGGGGTTTGCCGAGTTAAGAGGGAAAGGATGGGCTTTCTAGACCGAGGAATTGGTGTGGAACAAAGCGCAAGGGTGGGGAAAGCCTGAGTGCTAAGAGCTGGAGGCTAAATCACTGGCCCAGTTTCTAGGTGAGAAAAATTAAAATTAGATTCTTGAACTGGTAAAATATCATCTTTCAACAAAATTAATCCTCATAATTTTTTTTTACTATCTTTCTATACTCTTATCAGAAAATGTGATCATGTTACTACTGTTGCCATTAACTAAATATGAACACAAATGTTAGCCAGGTCAAGACTAGAGGCAGAGCTAACAGCACTGTATTGTCACCTTTTTTTTTTTTTTTGGAATTCTTTAATTCCTTCGGTTTTTCAGTGAGTTTTTCCCATACACGTTGTTTGTGAGGCAGTTTTCTCGGTGATGGGGGTGTAAAATGAATTAGGTATAATGCAGCCCTTCTGTGATGCTTTAGAGTTTCAATGGGCAGCAAGGCTCTACTCAAGTGTTTATAACACGAGGTAAAAACCACATACTGCTGTCATAGTGGGTCTGTCTGGCTTAGGAGCTGATCCAATTGGCCCATTCAATGGGTTGTTATTTTTTTGTTTTTAATTTTTGGAGTTGGTGGTAACCTCTCCAAATGGAGATTTTGACATAGAAAATCTGGGTTCCTGGCTTGCTCTAAAATAGCCCCCAAACTTGGCCACCATTACCTCCATGTAACCATCTGCTACAGCTGAGTTACAGCCACCCCTCCTTAAAAACCCATGAAATCTTCCTTGATTCCACTCCTCCCTCTTGACTCCCATCTGTCTGTTACTCCGTGAGGATACCTGCCTGGCTCCTGTAGCCATTAGTGTTTATGAGCCATCAGACTTGTTAAGTGTCCTGAGAGAAATCTAGCTGATACTCTACCCAATCCTTGACTATTCTCCTTTAAATTGTGTTCAGAGAACAGTCCCCAAACACATTTTCTGATAGTTTCCTCTATATGTTCCCTCTGCAGGTTTTTAACTGCCCTCCATTGCCTTCAAATGAAATCCAAATGACCTAGCTGACAGGAAAGATCCTGGGCTGAGGATCTGTTTATTGGAAACAGAAATCAGTACAAACTCATAATAAAAGTACACTGGATTCTTAGCATGATTTTGTGTTTACTATCAAAAGACTGCTAAATGTGAGCTTGTTCTGTTATTTCATTAGTTTAATCACCACAGAAGTGTTACAGCAGCCACTGAATTATCAGCCAATGTCATTATGCCATTATTTGTAATCGAGAGACATTGTAAAATATAGTCCAGAAAAGAGATCTTCTGCATTGTGGTAAAAAACAACTGTTGAGGACGTTGGCCACAGGGTTTCTCAGAGCCTTCTTGACGTCCAGTACTTGCAATTTCTTCAGCCCCGGGGTATTCTTGCAATGTGTGCCCTTACCCTGCTGATAGGTCAGTGCCAACTGTCAATGCTTTCTGCACGTGGCTTTCTGAATGTGGTGACTGTCTACGAGAATGGCAGTGCACACCATTCGAAGGACTGTGGGAATAACATGGTGTGGGTTAATTTACTTGTGATGAATGAAAGGAGGTAAGTAACCTGAGCTCAAAAGGCAATTGGTGTATTGCTGTCTCCCTGGTCCCTTGGGTTCAGCAAGATGGCCCTAGGTGCATCAACGAGGTGGTGGCTTCCTTGTTATTTTCAGCACTCTTTGCATTTATTTTCAACACTCCATAGGCATAAAAAGTGTGAATGATGCTGAAATCTTTTGCTCTATAGCACCCATCAAAGCTTCCCCTTAGTTTTAATGAGTTTTAGATCTTTTGTTTTCCTATTAGACCAAAGATTGATGAACTTCATTGGAGACAGCTAAGAACAGGAACTACTCCATCAACTTTGCTGGCTGACAGGTATCCCCCAATGTGTTAGCCAGTTAGCCAGGCTTCACACCTAGACAGTCTCAGAAGCATAAGATCACCCTGTAGTCTTCTGTGCTGATCTTTTCACTTGCTCAATTAAGGTGTAAGGATCGCATGCTTCCTGCAAAATAATAATTACATGTTTCTCTTGATAAGTTAAAGCAACAACAACAAGAAATATACATTCGTCAGTTTTCTCCAGAGAAGCAGAACCAATAGGGCGTTATTTAATATATATAATGAGATTAAAAGAATTTTTCTGGGGGGGTAGTTAGGTTTATTCATTTATTTATTTTTAATAGATATACTAGGCATTGAACCCAGGACCTCGTGCTTACTAAGCCCGTGCTCTGCCACTGAGCTATTACCCTCCCTCCATAACAAGATTTGTTATAAGGAATTGGTCCATGCAATTATGGAGGCTGGCAAGTTCTAAGATCTCCAGGGTGAGTCAGCAAGTTACAGACCCAGGAGAGCTGATGTTTCATTTTGAGTCAGAAAGCAGGAAAAAGCCTATGTCCCACTTTGAAGGCCATCAGACAGGAGAATTCTCTCTTATTTGGGGGAAGGGTCAGCCTTTTTGTTCTATTCAGGCCTTCAATTGATTGGATGAGGCCCACCCACATTAGGGAGCACAGTCTGCTTTACTCAGTCTGCCAATTTAAATATTAGTCTCATCCAAAACCACCCTAGAAATACCCAGAATGATGTTTGACTGAATATCTGGGCATCTCATTGCTCAGTCAAGTTAACTCATAAAACTAAGCATCACATATATCAGATGTACATACATATATGTATATATAATATAATCATTTTATTTCAGGTAATCAATCTATTTCTTCTGCAGTTAAGCATAATCTTTTAAGAAAATCAGATTTACATAATAGAAAAATTCAGAAATGTAGGCTGCATTTTCTGTAGATATTCCTTTACACACACACACACACACACACACACACACACACACACACACACACCCCTATATCTTTATCAGGGATTCAGAGAACTACAAGTGTGTGAGTTGGAAGGAACTTGGACTTTTTTTCTAAGTCTTTCATTTAGCCGCTAAGGATCAGAATGGTGGAGTGATTTATCTAGATGACACAGAAAAGTAAAGGTGGAACTGGAATTAAACACATGGCTCCTTGATACAAGGATTCCATTAGCACTTCGTGACTGAAAAAATGAGGTGGGTCTATGTGCAACCTGCAGAGGTCGCCAGAAGGATGTGCAGAGTCAAGGTAGTGGGAAGGAGGGAAGGCAGGAGGGAGGAGCTAAAACTGGATGCATAAGAGGAAGGAAGGGATGACAAGGTGAGCTCCTCGAGTGAGCACAGAAGAGTGAGGAAGAGGAGGAAGGGAGAGAACGTGAAGTACTGAGGGGCTGGAGTCTGCGGAAGGACCGACCGGCCAACCAGGGGAAGTGAGACACAGATGCCCCACTCTCTGTCTCTCCGTTCCCTCTTCTAGAACAAACCACATGACTCAGATGTAGATCCTCTTCCTACTCTCTGCTGGACAAGACTGTCTTCCTGGAGGCCAAGAACTTT